ATATATATATATATATATATATATATATATATATATATATATATATATTAAATATTATATAATATTAAATATTATGAAGTGATAAACTTCTTACATGTAGGGAAAAATTACTTTAAAATCAACAAATATTTTTTTGATGGGTGTCATTAACATATTTATTTAAATCTAAATTCTCTTTATTTAAACCAAATATTGTTTACTTAAATCAGGTAAATAATACTTGATTTAAATAAAATAAAGAGAATTTAGATTTAAGTATATATGTTAATATGTTAATATGTTAATATGTATATATGTTAATATGTTAATGGCACCAATCAAAGAAATATTTATTGATTTTAAAGTAATTTTTGAGCGTATGAAGTGATAAACAAGCCACGCGGTACGTATGTATCATATCGTTTTGTTGATATTTTTGTCTGACCACAACAAAGCTATTACGCGCATAACACGATGTCCTAGCGCAAATGGTTAAATGTAAACGGAGAAAACGACAATAAGTACTCATTTGTAGTGTTGTATCCTGAGATTTTTCATTGATCTTTCAAGTTCGACAGAACTTGCAGGGTTAATGCGGAATCAAAATTTCGACTCGGGTATCCACGTCTCCCTGCGAACGCGCTGGATCGCGCAAGAAATATGGTTCGTGTGTGCGATCACGCGTGTGGGAAACATATCGAAGTTGAAAACGTTTCCTTCCCCGGCATCTCGCAGTCCAGGCACGCCTGCACGTCGCGGTGCAGGATGGAGAGAGCCGAAGGAAGACGTAGGAACACGGAAGCTCAACTGGAGGCACTCCCGACATCGTATTGGCCGGGATATAGCGCGCATATCGAATGAAAAACTGTCGGAAAATTTAGCCGGTTCACAGAAGCGACCGTGCTGCGAGATTTCATCTTGAAATAAATTGCCAAAGGCGATAAATTGTATTGTATTGATTGTACCGATACGTTCTGCAAGGTAGCTTTCTTCCAAGAGAAGTCGAAGGGAAAAAAATGTGGCACGAAGGCATGAGTAGTGCTAATTTTGAGACAAGTATAACTTGAATCCGTGGAAGTTTATAAAGGCAGTCGCGAACGTGTCGTTATATTTGATCTTTTAATTCAATTCTGATCCTGGAATAGCGATGTCGACCGATATGTTGATGGCGATTGCTCGATTCAAACAATACTAAAGTAGTCACGCAATTGTCGACGTGTGTAAAAAATGCATGCTAAAACATGAGCAGTATCACAGTTCGACAAGGACACACTCTGGAGAAGACTATAGTAGGTCGCAAAACATTTTAGACACAATAAACTTCAGTGCATAGCTAATGGTCTAATAAGAGAATGAATTATTCAAAAATAAGTTCTCTCATTGAACCATCTGCTGCGCTCTGAAGTTCATTGTGTCCATTCTGCGACATACACTCAGTTGCATTGATGTTATACCATTCACCAGATTGATAATCACTAGAAAATGTCGACCAGTCGTGTCCGTTTCTAACTGATCATTTTTCACTTTGATTCATCTGGCAAGCGGGAATGTGTCAAAACAAAAGTGACATTTTGACAGCTTGATGTTTCATATATACATGTTTTTATCAAAAGGTTATCCGCTCACATGTAATGCACAATCAGTAGAAAAAAAGTAAGAATGTTAAAAATGAGTAAGAAGTTAATATATAAAATTATAATTATTAAATTATTAAATTATTATTAACACGTATGTACGAAACGTGAAACTGTCAAAATGTCACTTTGACACATGTCTGTTTTGGCACATTCCCGCTTGCCGGATGAATCAACAGTCATGAAAAACGATTAGCTAAAAACGGACACGGCTGGTCAAAACTGTTTAGTGACTATTGATCTGGTGAATGTTATAGCATCAATGCAACTGAGTGTACTGTACGCTCTCTTTTTCTTCCTCATAGATCGACGTATCATCCGAGATTCGGCGTCGCGTGTATCTCGCGTCGTTTTATCTTTCTCTTTCATCGCCGCATTTATAATCCCGATTCAATCAGTCCGATGATCGTCCGATTCTATTACCGATTGAGTGAGTCGAAGACAACAAGCGTATAAGAAAGACCGTCTCGATACAGCGCGACGAGTACAGATTGTATGTATCGAGAAAGGAGATCACTTACCAGTAACGACCTGATGATACCTCTCGATGATCGCACATCGCTATCTCCGATACTTATTTAGCTGCGAGACTCACTTTCGACAGATAAAAGATGCATAAAACGCGCGGAGCGATATCGATCGATGTGTCCATGGCGCAAAGAGAACGAAGCTGCGCGCGCAATTAATGAATCCAAACGCCGAACCAGCGATGAGCGCGCCACGGCTAGAAGCGAATGTGATTGGTCGAAGATTTCTAGTGTTCACTGCCGAATGGTAACTATTGACAGTAATTATTGATCTAACGAGTGGCAAGTCACTTGCGGAACTGACCGTGCAGAGAGCGTTGTTGTGGAAGTATAAAAGATTCGCGCGGCGTACGTTATCTATCGCACGGTTGTCTTCGATCTCTTTGCGTCAAGCTGCCACCATGAACGCATCAATCGGAATCGCTCCGCGTTTTACGTATCTTTTCTCTACCAAAAGCGAGTTTCGCGCGGAAACAAGTATCGAGAGTGCCGAGATAGCGATGCGCAATCGTCGGGATATATCATTGAGATGTATCGTGAATACGTCATTGGTAAGTAATCTCCTCGTTTTTGGATACATGCAACCTGTACTTATCACGTCGTGTCGAGTCAGTCTTTATCATTCTCATTATTATCCTCGTCCAACTAATAATAGAATAGAGCAGTCGTCAGATTGATTAACACTAGATTTACGGGACAATTTGACGGATATCCGGAGAAATAGGTATACGACATAGAGAATTTCAAAATTAGAAGTCTGAGGAGTAAATGAATAATTTGGATATATATTCATATCATTCCATTAATAAAAGTCAATAAAAATTGCTAGAAAATAATAAGTTTCTGTAATTTTGCTCGTGAAGTCCGAAACCCGTCAAATTGATGGGTCTCGTAAATCTAGTATTATTCGGTAACTATAAGTGTGATGATAGTCGTAAGGAAAAAGAAAGAAAGAAAGGACGACGCGAGAGATATACGCGACGCCGATTTCGGGCTATAACGTTGGTAACGTGGATTAGGTTAGTAAGGAAGAAAGGGATGTAGTGTAGGGATTGAAAGGGGGAAAGTGTGGGGAAGTAGGGGTACTCACTAAAGCCTGATTTACAATATGCTCTTTGCGTTCTGTTTCTTGTCTTCTATCTTTTTCTAGTTTAAAGCTTAAGGTTTGAGTCAGAAATAGATAAAGAGAAAGAAGCAGGAAACAAAAAGGATATTGTAGATCAGGCTTAAAACTCGTCCTATCGCGATACCGCTCACGTTTCGGCGCACGGCACAATTGCGCGGCCATCTTTAATATCGATCTTTTTGCATCGAGCTGTCGGCACGAACCATCGATCCACATCGCTCCGTGTATTTTCTCTATCAAAAGTGAGTCTTGCGCGGAAACAAGTATCGGGAGTGTCGTTAATAGCGATATGCGATCGTCGACATGTATCGTGAGGACGTTGTCAATAAGTAATTTCATTTCTACACTGTAAATACTAATATGTTAAATTTAACATTTCATGTGTCCCAAATCATCTACTTTTATTTATGTGTAAATTTAACACAAAACAAATGTTAAATTAATTAAAATAACACGTTACTTTAACATTTGAGAGAAGTATTAATCTATGGTTTTGATGAAATGAAAATGTTAAATTAACATAATCTACATATTAAATATGTCAATTTAACACAACCTGTGATTCCTAACGGTATTCAAGTGTTAAATTCTTGTGTTAATTTTTTATTATGCGTGTTACTTTTTAACACATTTGTTTTGTGTTAAATTTATACATAAATGAGAGTGAATGATTTGGGACACATGAAATGTGTTAAATTTAACATATCAATTTTTACAGTATAGATACACATGCAATCTATGCTTGTTGAGTTTATCACTCTCGCTATTAGCTTCGACTCATTCAATTAGTAATAGGATGAGGCGATCGCGTCGGATTGATTAACCGGGAACTATAAACGCGATGATAATCGTAAGAA